TAATCGACGTGTCAGGGTAGGAGGTCTGTCCACCCCCGATGCTGAATCAAGGAAGGGCAGACGAGGAACGACGCCCCCTCTCTGGCCCCCAGCTGCCAGGGCGCCTGCGTGCACGAGGAGGGCCAGAGGACCAGCCATGGGAGGACCTAAAGGACATCGAGCCTATCATTCCAGCGTCTTCCGTAAATACCCAGAAAAAAAAACAAATACCCCAAAATAGTCAAAAAATAATCAAATAATACTCTGGGGACTATGTTTTGAGCATTTTTTTTTATCTTTTTGGATTATTTGTTGAGTTTTTTTTTTCGTCGAAAATCCCCCTGTAGGGGGACACGCCCGACATAAGGCTTTAACCACATATTCGGCGGTGGATAAACCTCCCTTTAGTAAACCTCCATTTCGTGAAAAACGACCTGGGACCGAAACCGACGGGCCTGGACCTGCAAAAAAAAGACGGCCGTGGCGCCCTCTCGCGAACCGAAGATGGCAAATTCCTTTTAATCGACGTGTCAGGGTGGGAGGTCCGTCCACCCCCGACTTGACTGGAACGGCAGACGGGGAACGACGCCCCCTCTCTGGCCCCCAGCTGCCAGGGCGCCTGCGTGCACGAGGAGGGCCAGAGGACCAGCCATGGGAGGACCTAAAGGACATCGAGCCCCTCGAGGACCAAATAGTAAATAGTAAAACAATGCATTAACATAGTTTTTTATATACATAGGCCTCTCTCTCTGTATATATATAGAGATATAGAGAGAGAGGCCTCACATACCGTGGGGATCGGGGTGGCCCTTCCGCCCTCGACCTCAGGAGCTCGCGGTGCGTCAGCAGCTGCTCGAGCCGCGCGCCCTCCGGGGGCCCGCCGCCCAGCGCGGGCGGGCCCGCGGGAGGCCGCCCCTGCAGCTGCCACCGCTGGTGGACCACCTCCTCGGAAGAAGAAGCGAACACCTCCTCCTCCTCCCCCTCCTCCTCCTCCTCCTCCTCCTCCTCCCCTCCCCCCCCCCCCCCCCCCTCCCCCTCCCCCTCCTCCTCCTCCTTCTTCCTCCGCCCTCCTCCTCCTCCTCCTCCTCCTCCTCCTCCTCCTCCTCCTCCTCCTCCTCCTCCTCCTCCTCCGCCTCCGCCTCCTCCTCCTCCTCCTCCTCCTTCTCCTCCTCCTCCTCCTCCTCCTCCCCCGCACCCCCTTCGGGTCGGGCGAAAGGGGGGGATAGCAAAGGCGGGGTTTGAGAATCAGCTCACGCAGCTGCTTCTCCCGGCGCCTCCCGGCGCAGGAGGGCGCCCATGCATCGACGAATGGGCCCGGCGGCGGGGCCGAAACCAGCTGCATGCATCAGATTTCGTAACCCCCCCTTTCCCCCCCTTTCGTCTGGCCCGATGACAGCAGAGAAGCCACCCTCATGAAAAGCATCCCGACAAGCAAACCCAGAGCCCCGAGGCCCCAAAAAACTGGGGCGGTTCTTGGACGCGTTCGGCCTCTATAGGGGCCCTCGCCAGTCCCCGGGACAGTCAAAAGACGACTGGATGCAGAACCAGATGGTCCAGACCAGCAGGGGCCACGAATCGCAAAGCATTGGAACGCAGGACGTCTGGGGAACCATCCTCAAAATAAGCGCCTCGACATCAGCAAATTCATTCCATTGAGTAAACGCGCCGAAGGGATGAATCCAACTGGGCAGGGCCGTTTAGTCAACGATCGGGGCCGTCGAGTAAACGCCAACGAGAAAGAGTCGGGCTGGTTTCTCCTCTACTGTGTAAAATGTCGGAGATCTGCGCGGCTGTCTTGGATCGGCGCTGGGTCCCCCTGGCGGCGCCTCCAGCGCCGCCTCTGGCGCGCTCCGCGCGCTCAGGGTGGAAGTGCCAGCGGAGATCCAAGAGATCCGCACGGAGCTCCAACAGTTTGTGTGTGCGCGTTGCTGCTCTTGTTCGACTCCTGTAGCGCCGAGGACAGCGTCTGCACCTGAGCCTGGAGCGCGTCGCTCTCGGCTGTGGCCACCCTGGCCTTAAGTCGGGCCTGTCCCCCTACAGGGAGATTTTCGACGAAAGTTAAAACATACTTTGAAAATACGCCAAAATGGTAAAAAATTGTCAAAACATAGTCCCCAGACTATTTTTTACTACTTCTGAAGATTCCCCCTGTAGAGGGACAAGCCCGACTTAACCGGGCCTCCTCGCGAGCCGCCAGGAGCTCAGAGCGCAGGCTCCCGTTCTCCGCGCCGAGTGACTGCAGGCGGGCTTCCAGCTCCGGCATCCTTAGAGACGCCTCCCAAGTGGGCTCCGCGTCTGGCCTTAAGTCGGGCGCGTCCCCCTACAGGGGGATTTCCGACGAAAAATAAGAATACGCAAAAAATGCTCAAAGGATGCCCAAAAATACAAAAAATAATCCCCGGACTATGTTTTTACTATTTTTGAATATTCCCCCTGTAGAGGGACAGGCCCGACTTAAGTCTGGCCATCGCTCGGACGTCCATTCCCTGTGTTTTTGTTCGGTTTCGTGCGTGGCTTTTTC